GAACCAAGATATAGATACATGAGACAGACTGACAGATGTCAGAAGGGAGGGTGTGTGTCTGTGTGTGTTTGGAGGAGGAGGGCACTGGATGAAAGAAGGTGAAGTTATTGGCCAAAGAACGTATATGCACACCCCTTGAACACAGACAACAGTGTGCGGTGATGGCCAGAGGGATGGTGGGAGGGGTTTGGGTGGAGTTGGGCAAAGGAGTGGGTAAATGGGGAACATCTATAATAGTGTCAACAATAAAAATAATGTTAAAAAATAAGTGTAATGAAGATGTTGCCAGAAAAACATATGTATAACTTTTATAAAGATTATATACTGACTGAATACATTTTAATGAAAATATATTTTGAAACCTGATCTGCTGTGAACAAAATGACATATCTTTTTATTGTGCTGTTGGTTTTAAAGTTAAGCTTCCTAATGCATAATAATAAATTTCCAATGGATACTTTGAGAACAAAAAAAATAAATAGCCCTCTCTCCCCAAACAACAACAACAAGAAACTAACAAGGAGGCACTGGGCTATAAAATAATGTGTCCTATTCATACCCTGTGAATTGGCTTCCTCAGTGTATGTGGGTGAGGAACACATTTCAATTCAAACAATAAAGTAACAATAAAGTACCAACAAACATGGTATGTGCAGGAAAATATAATGCCTTTAAAGTTGCTGAAACTTCAGGTTTGAGGATGAGAGTAGCAGATATAAGTCCTGAGAGATAAGCAGGTTCAGATCATGGAGACACTTTACTACAGAACTTGGACTTCATCCTACACAGATGAAGGGATAGGGATATAGTTAGGCCTTCTAGCTAATTAGTCCTCATTGGGCAAGGTCTGCCCATGTTACTGTTGCTCTCAGACACAATTGTCTGACCTCTAACATGGAGTCTGACTTAAATTAATATTTAATTAGTACTTGAACTAATAAATAAATGAATTTATATGGAATTTGACATAAAAAATATACGGCCCTAACCGGTTTGGCTCAGTGGATAGAGCGTCATCCTGTGGACTCAAGTGTCCCAGGTTTGATTCCGGTCAAGGGCATGTGCCTTGGTTGCGGGCACATACCCAGTGGGGATTGTGCAGGAGGCAGCTGATCAATGTTTCTCATCGATGTTTCTAACTCTCTATCCCTCTCCCTTCCTCTCTGTAAAAAAATGAATAAAATATATTTAAATATATATATATATATGGAAGAGCCCTGGCCAGTGTTGCTCACTTGGTTGGAGCGTCTTCCCATACACCAAAAGGTGGCAGGTTCAATCCTGGTCAGGGCACATACTTAGGTTGTGGGTCCCATCCCTGGTTCAGGTGCATAGGGGAGGCAATGGATTGATGTGTCTCTCACATCATGTTTTTCTTTCCCCTCCCTTCCTCTCTGGAATCAATAAAAAAACAAGTCCTCAGGTGAGGATTTAAAAAAAAAATGTAGGGAGGAAAGTGAGCTGCATTATCATAAGCTTTGCTTAAAATTATTTCGGATGTGGACCTGGTATGCCTTAAAACAGCTTTCATATGTCTTTAAGAAATTTTTAACACACTGATTTAATGTTACTAAATTTCATTGTGTCCAGATTTTTATTTTTACCCATTAAGGACTGATTTCATATTTGTATAGATTTTGTTTTTATTTGTTTGTTTTTAAGCTTTCACAATTTTTATTAAATCCTAGTCTAACTTAAGGATATCTGATTTTATAGACATCATCCTATGGTGAACATGTTTAATAAATGAAAGCAAATCAGACATCAAAGTCATTATTTTCTGCAGACTAAGCAATAAGATAACTACTACACAGAATGCTACAGGTCATGACATAACGCTTACTTGCTCAGAGTTTTCATACAAGCCATGCATGTTGTTTATCAAACTATATTTCCTAATATTTAATACAGTTGAATTAGTGATTATAGTTCTCATATAATATTTTAGTTACAAGTACCTTATTAAGATAACTAACATTTGGACAGATTCACTGGTTTTCCAGATTAGCATAATATATTTAAGAAAAAGGGCAAAAAGTAAAATGAAAACAGAACATGACAAGTTATTAAGGGAAAATAAGATCAAGTTAAAAAGGGGAAAGTTAAAGTATCACTGAGGTGGAAATCAAAGCCTAGACATCCTATCTAATAATAGCCAAAAATGGTAATTGACCATACCTTCACTACACCTCCCATTGGCTTATCAGCATGATATGCAAATTAACTGCCAACAAATATGGCAGTTAATTTGCATATACTGGCTGAGAGCGAAGCAAGCCAGGCGGCCGAAAACAAGCCGGGTGGTGGAGACGGGAGCAAAACAAGCTGGGCGGCGGAGGGAGGCGGGAATGAAACAACCCAGGCCGGGGGGCAGAGGGAGGTGGGAATGAAACAAGCGGGACATCCCCCGATGGGTCTCAGACTGCGAGAGGGCACAGGCCAGGCTGAGAGATCCCCCTCTCCCCCGTCCCTGAGTGCACAAATTGTTGTGCACCGCACCTCTAGTTTGTTTAGAAGCAAACAGACCAACTATAAATTTCATAGGTCAAGTTTATAAATTCAGCACAGTATTAATCCTTTTGAATGTAAAAGCCAAGTTTAAATTAAAAGGTCTATAAACTGTTAACTTTTGGCCTTAAATAGTACCAATTCTTTTGATTAAAGGAGGCCACAACAGTAAAGATTGTATTATTTGATTTGATTTTACACTAGATGATGGGCCCAAAGCAATCCCCCTGAATAAAGTTGATAATTAGCTTCACTGAGAACATTTTTTTTAAAATATATTTTATTGATTTTTTACAGAGAGGAAGGGAGAGAGATAGAGAGTTAGAAACATCGATGAGAGAGAAACATCGATCAGCTGCCTCCTGCACATCTCCCACTGGGGATGTTCCCGCAACCCAGGTACATGCCCTTGACCGGAATCGAACCTGGGACCTTTCAGTCTATAGGCCGATGCTCTATTCACTGAGCCAAACCGGTTTCGGCTCTGAGAACATTTTAAATAATGCACATTAAAACAAATATTCTGACCAATTGTTCTGCAATCCAAATATACAATAGCTGGGGAAACATCATTTAAAAAACAAAAGCCAATGTAAAATGACATATTAAAACAACTGGAACAGTACAGGTTTTATATGGCTCTGAGTTCACAGTTTTCTTATTGCATCATCAATATCAGAAATCTGTTCCTTCAGCTGGTAGGATTTAAATAAATACCTTTTCTTCCTGATTTCATTTCACCTCTAGATCCATCCAATATTCTCTGGTATCAATTAGGACTTTTCTTTGAAAGTCCCGAATGCTGACATACCTCATCTTCCCAATCTGAAACATGTTATCTCTGCTGCTGCAGTTCTGCTTGGAAGATGGCAGGGCTCTTGAAGTTTCACCAGCCTTTTGTTTCTTTACAGTTTTTTCTGAAGTAACTTGTTTTTTCCTCTTTCACTTTTTGTCAACTTCATTCTCAGAATCACTGCCAGTAGAGCCTGAAGAAACAAGTTCCTTTGATTTAGGCATTGCTCCCCTACTGCTACCAAATAGGCCTGTGCTCACTCACTGGCTCTGGATAGATTTTATAAAGTATCAACTTAGTGCTTATATTATCTTACATTTAATTTTATAGTGCTAATGGAATTTCTACATTTCAGTTAATTTCCTATTAAATATATTGAGAATCCTATATAATAAAAGTCTAATATGCAAATTGTCCCCTTTACTGGGAGTTCGACCGCGCACTATGACGTGCGCTGACCACCAGGGGCAGCCCAGAACATGGTGGGCATCAGTGACGTGGTGCTGTTAGTGGGCAGCAGTGGAGGTGCTGCCGGCCCCAGTGGGCCCCAAAGAGAGTGGGATTGTGGTGGGATGATGGAGCAGGTGAGCGGGCAGTGCCAGGCCAAGGCAGGTGCGAGCGGGAGTCCAATCACCCTGCATATGGTGACCAGCAGTTTGGGGTGGGGCCACTGCCTGGCTCTCAGGTGCGGAGGGAGCCAGGCAGTGGTCTAGGCCAAGATCGATCACCCTGCATATAGCTACCAGTGACGGCGGTGGGGGGGCGGGGCTGCTGCCTGGCTCCCAAGCACTGAGTGAGCTGGTCATGGGGAGGTGGGGGGGGGGGGGGCAACTGATCGCCCCGCAGACTGTGACCAGCGACCAGCAGGCCCTGATCATCCAACTGGGGCCAGGCCCTAGCTGGGACAGGAAGCTGGGGGTGGTGGCAGCAACCAGCCTCCTGTGGCGCTCGGGTGGGGGCCTGCAACCTCTCACCAGCTACCTGGGGGTGGGGGTGATGGGGATGGAGGTGCTGTGAGAATGCGGGGTGTCTTCCAAGCTTGCTCTCACTCCCCCTGCTACCCTCCCCTGAGATGCCAGTGCTCGCGCACCGGGGAAGCCGCCGTGCAGAGGGGACCTGCTCCACATCTGCCCAGCCTCTTCTGGGTGAGCTGGGCCCAGCTGCCAGAACCGCAGGGGACAGTTGGGCTCCCCATGGGTTTGCTCAGGAGCTAGTCTGCGAGGCCAGTCTGGAGAGAGCACACTGCCCACCCAGCTTCCATGTGGCACTGCTGGGTGGCTGAGAGGCCCATGCTGCACCCTGGCCCGCGGCATCTGGCTGCACTCACCACATCTCCACATGGGGTCTCAGGTGGAGTGGAGCAGGTGGGGGCCCAGTCCCCCAGGTGCTTCCCAGGGCCCAGAGTTCAGCTGGGACCTGCCCTTTCACGCCAGATGCTTGCGCTTCGATCGCCAGCCAGGCCTAGGGACTTCACCCATGCACAAATTTCGTGCACCGGCCCTCTAATTGATATATAAGAAATCAGCTGAGGTGTAGGAAATATATTTCTATATACATAAAAATATAGGCTTCATTATGTAAATAAATAATTATAATGGTTTGTATTCATGTTTGTTATACTAGGTACTTCTGGATATCTGTTACATCTTTGTAAGTAATAGAACTTGAACTATATTGTAAAGTTTTTTTTCTCCCACAGAAGTAAATTTCCCCAGAAGGAATTGGAAATGCTGTTTCCTGGAATGAGTGCTGATTTTACAAGTGAGAATTTTTCAGCTGCCTGGTATCTGATAGAGAACCACTCAACCACCAGGTTAGTGATGTGGAACTGTTGATTGTGAGTTGTTCACTCAGATGCAGTAAAGAGGAATATTCAGTGATGTGGGTTTTAGGTCTAGTTCCCTCAGAGCCCTTTAACTTTGGGTGAGCTTGTGGACCTCTCAGGGTACCTATTTTCTTATTTATAAAATCGGATTATTAATTAGAGGGTCCTTATTCCTTACTATCGTGTTGCTTCTATCAGTTTCATTATTCGTGCAACCCATTAAAACTTTGCTGAGTCTTAGCTATGTAATAAAACTTATGTGTCTGAATGTTACTTTTCCCAACTCAACAAAATTTTCAAGTCTTGGTGTAATGTAGGAAACACACCTTCTTCCCAGATCACAGAGCAAAGGAAGATGACTTGGTTTATCATTTTGCAAAGACTTGGTGTAAAACTAGGCCAAAAAATGGACAAGGTTATATATCTAAATTAAAGTGTTCCTTTTTGTTTGCTAATTACATTTTACCCATTTTCTCTACAAGATCAGATTTTTAACTTTTTTTGCAGATTGTTTTAAAACAATTATATTTAATAAAAATGCTTTAATGAATGTTTTATTGCTTAAAATTTATATTCTTGAAAATTCAACTTGTTAAAATATAACTTAGGAGAAATTCTTCATCTATATTAGGAAAACCATTAGTAGAAAACATGAGGAAAAGTTGGTATATACATAGGATAAATTTGGCCTGATAAATTTTTAAAGCAAATGTCTGAAATCTTTCATTATAGGAGACTAGAGGCCCGGTTCCCGAAATTAGTGCACTTTTGGGGGGGGGGGGCGGGTTCTCTCAACCTGGCCTGCGCCCTCTCGCAGTCAAGGAGCCTTGCGGGTATGTCTGACTGATTGCTTAGGCCAGTGATGGCAAACATTTTGAGCTCAGCGTGTCAGCATTTTGAAAAACCCTAACCTAACTCTGGTGCCGTGTCACATATAGAAATTTTTTGATATTTGCAACCATAGTAAAACAACGACTTATATTTTTGATATTTATTTTATATATTTGAATGCCATTTAACAAAGAAAAATCAACCAAAAAAATGAGTTTGCATGTAACCTCTGACACACGTGTCATAGGTTCACCATCACTGGCTTAGGCCCACTAATTCATCAATCGGACATCCTTAGCATTGCCACAGAAGCGGGAGAGGTTCCCACCACTGCCACTGTGCTTGCCAGCTATGAACACGACTTCTGGCTGAGCGGCAGCCCCCCTGTGGGAGCACACTGACCACCAGGGGGCAGCTCCTGCATTGAGTGTCTGTCCCCTGGTGGTCAGCGCGCATCATAGTGACTGGTCATTCCACCATTCGGTCATTTGCATATTAGCCTTTTATTATATAGGATACACTGTAGATGAGGCCCCCTAGAACCATAGGAAATGCAAAAAGTTCACTGTTAACTCATCCTCAAATTGACCCCACTTAAAATCAAATTGCCCCCCTGTGGGGCGTGTGCTGCAACTTGGGAACCACTGGGCTTGACACTTTCCCTGTCTGAGCTTCATTTCTGAATACATATGCATATACCATGGTTATTGTAATCTCTTCTCCGCCTACCTCACTGGGTTGTCATGAGGAGGTTCTGAGCTAATAAACTTAGAAATGTTTCATCAAGTAAGTGATTGTTATTTTTAAGCCCACGGGTACCCTCACAGGAAGCAGGTACTGATTAGGGGAGGAGGGCATGATTGTTTCCTGGGATTGTAGCTATCAAAGCTTTGGAGAGGGTTCCACAGGCCTCGGAGGGGCATGCTCTTGCCAGTAGCCCTGTAGTGGTGTTCATCCCTGGAAGCGCTGGCTGGGGGGTCGTAGGGGGGCGCTAGTGGGGCACTGAGGCCAAAGGGGGAGTAACTGTCAAACCTCCCCACTTGGCGCCATTCTTTAAATTGTATGTGGCCTCGGGGGTGCTGATAGGTCGTCGCTGGCATGCTATTGTTGTGGTCGCCCCTGGTGGGGGTGACGAGGGAAGAGATCGGGAGTCAGAGGTGTGGGCTATGGCTACCCCTGAGGCTGGGTCTTCTCCCTGTCAGGTCAGCCTCCCCAACTCCCCGGGGGTGTGGGAGCTGGAGTAGGGTGTCCGTGCAGGAGGATTGGAAGAGCTCCCCATGGTTGCTTCCTCTTCCTTCTTTATGGTCCAAGCTCCTGTCAGGCACTGTCCTCAGACCCCTGGGAACTTGGCTCCGGCCTCCCCACCCATCTGTGGCTCTCTGCCACCCCCGCCCCACTTGGCTCTCCCAGGCTGCTAGCCTGTCAGAAGGCTGCCGGGGCACCCTGCTGCGGGCAGCACGATCCTGGGGCAGGGGGTGGGGGTGTGGGAAGTAAAGTTTAGTAAACCCCGGGTCCGCATCAGGATATGGCTGCAGGGCCATGGGGGAGTCTGCCCAGGTGGGACAAAAATCACACAAGGCCCCACAGCCCCACCCACCCTGCTGACTGGTCATGATGTGATGGCATCACGGATAATTTGCATATCCCTCTATTATTAGTATAGGTGGTTCTGATTTTACATTATGGATGTGCTTTTTCTGTTACTATAAGTCAGAATTGACCTCTTTTCTGTGTAGGGCTATCATGGCACTCAATATATTCAAAGTTTTATAGCCTAATTTCTTAGCCCAGGTAGAAATAAAACTTCTGAAATACTGAGGACTACCTATTTTTTTCTCTGCTTGAGATATAAAATATTGTGGTCTTTTTAGTTATTTAGATTGTGTATTGAAAACCTTCCCCAGTTTTTTTTTCTGTGATTCCACTGCTAATGACAGGATTGACTGTTGATGGTAAGGACAATGGTGTGCTCAGTTTGTGTCTGGAATACAGAAATGAACATACAACCTGGCTTGTGTGGCTCAGTGGTTGAATGTTGACCCATGATCCAAGAGATCGTCAGTTCGATTCCTGGTTAGGCCATGCGCCTAGTTTGTGGGCTCGATTTCCAGTAAGAGGCATGCAGAGGTCATGCAGGAGGCAGCCAATGGATGATGTAGCTCTCTCATTGATGTTTCTATCTCTTTATCCATCTCACTTGCTCTCTCTCTCTCTAAAAAAAAAACAGAGAAAAAAATCACTAAAAGAAGTGAACTTGTCTGATGATATTTTCAGTCTTTAAAATGCAAAGATTTCCAAAAACAAAAACAAAAACAAACAACAAAAAAAGAACTTACAGAGAAGATCCTGCTTTAGAAGGCTTCCAACCACTGCATGATCTAGGCCAGTGGTCGGCAAACTCATTAGTCAACAGAGCCAAATGTCAACAGTACAATGATGGAAATTTCTTTTGAGAGCCCAAATTTTTAAACTTAAACTATATAGGTAGGTACATTGTTATTAACTTAATTAGGGTACTCCTAAGGCTTAGGAAGAGCCACACTCAAGGAGTGAAAGAGCTGCATGTGGCTCGGGAACCGCAGTTTGCCGACCACGGATCTAGGCTTTAACATCAGGGAAATGATATTCAGAACCTTTCACCAGGCATATGTATATATGACATACTAGTATATTGGTCATAAAAATACCTGCATGTATATTTCCATCATAAGGATCCTAATATATAAAAAGCCAGGGGTCATCATGACCGAAATAACTGGACAGACGACCGAACAGCAGGCTGCGTGGGATGACCAGGCCAGCAGGGGGGTTAGTGAGGCATGACCAAACGACTGAATAGCAGGCTGCGTGGGGCGACCAGGACGGCAAGGGGGACAGTTGGGGCAACCAGGCTGGCAGCGGGGGGGGGGAGTTGGGGATGACCAGGTCAGAAGGGGGGGCAGTAAGGGGCGACCAGGCCAGCGGGCGGGGGGGGGGGCAGTTAGGGGCCATCAGGCAGGCAGGCAGGTGAGCAGTTAGGAGCCAGTGGTACTGTATTGTGAGAGGGATGTCCAACTGCTGGTTTAGGCCTGATCCCAGGGATCGGGCCTAAACCGGCCGTCATACATCCCCCGAGGGGTCCCAGATTGGAGAGGGTGCAGGCTGGGCTGAGGGAATCCCCCTTCCCCGTGCACGAATTTCATGCACCAGGCCTCTAGTCATATATTTGGATTGACCGCTTGAGTGTTACTAATATTTTTTCTAGCTGCTGTAATTTTGGCATTCACAATTAAAATTTTTAGCTCTAGGTAAGAATTTGAAAGCCTTTGTTTTCATCTGGTAACATACTAGTCTGTATCTTAATGTAGGCTTTAGTATTTTATACTTAATGCATTATCTTATTTCTTTTTTGCTTGTTAGGAGTGTTAAACTTTTCGTTTCTTTATTTCATTTCAGTTTTGAGCAGCTCAAAATGGCAGTCACTAACCTGAAGAGACAGGCTAACAAGAAGAGTGAGGGCAGCCTGGCTTGTGTGAAAGGGGGTCTTAGTACTTTCTTTGAAGCCCAGGATGCTCTTGCAGGTAAGGTGACCCTGAGAGCCATCTGCTGTGGCTTCCACAACAGAAACCTGACACTATGTTTGCAGAGTGTTTACAGGGTGTGCCATTCTGTCTGTGTTTATAAAAGTTGAGATATAAAATGTGCCATAAATATTTGTTGCAGACTAGGCTGGAATCTCTTTGAAGGCTTGATACTTTAAATATTTGTCTATGAGGATTTGTAGACCCATGTGTGAAATAGGAGACCACTTTGCTTCTCCACAATGCCCAGTGTCCAGGGTCGATAAGAAATTAAATTCCAATGGGTTAAATTCTAGAGTTTTAAGAATCCCTAGCCATCACTGTCTTACACATGTGACTAATTCTATAAATGTGACCCATTGTATGTTTGGTTTTGAAAAGACTGATAGTAATATATCCTTTATAGCCATCATCCCAACAGTACCATACACAATATTTAACTGTTCACCTTGCATATCCTCATCTGTATATGTAATGGAAATTGTATTAAATAGAAATAACATAGTTTTAGACATTTCGGGGAAGGATATTAGATAGGTTTTCCCCTCTAAAACTGTCTTTAATAGAAATCAAATTATTATTTATTTAGTGAAAAGTAAAATATATTAATAAATGTTAGCCCAATTCTTTTAAAAAACAAAGACCCTTATAGCCTGATACCTACATAGCTAAGTACTGACTAGACAAGGTGCCACACCTTCATTTCAGAAAGACTAAATCTTAAAATTAATTTGTATTCTTAAAGTACAGAAATTCTTTTATTGTCTTTAAAGCCCCTTCTTCCTGGGCCAAACATGCTTAGTTGACTTCTGACAAGTGAAATGTGCATCTGGTACAGCTCTTTCCTTACAGGTAGAAATGAGGTTTTTGATGGGATAAAATGCAAATGCCCAGGATGGAACAGAGAAGTTAGATAGGCTTCTTTAATAAATATTCTGTGCCCCCTATTTTTTTAAAATATATTTTTATGAATTCATAGAGGAAAGGAGAAAGAGAGAGAGATAGAAACATCATTAATGAGAGAATCATTGATCGGCTGCTTCCTACACGCTTTCTACTGGGGACCAAGCCCACAACCCAGGCATGTGCCCTAAGTGGAATTCAACTTTGAGCTCCTGGTTCACACACTCAACCACTGAGCAACACCAGCTGGGCTGTGCCCCCTAGTTTTTGATGAGTGTGTTTTTCTTTCTTTGACCTTATTGATATTCTAAGTTGTCAATGTTATGTCCACAATAGAAACCTGAGCATATATGAACAGTTTAGTGTTAACAAATAGAATTAAGTTATTACTATGCCTAGTACCTATACAAATGATAATTTGCATATATGATTAGCCATTCTCATAGGTTATTATAATTATAACTAGAGGCCCGGTGCACAAAATTTGTGCACTGGTGGTGGGGGGGGGGGGCAGGGTGCATCCCTCAGCCCGGCCTGCGCCCATTTGCAGTCCAGGACTCCTTGGGGGATATCCACCTGTTGACTTAGGCCCACTCCCCGGGGGATCAGGCTTAAGCTTGCAGTCAGACATCCTTCTGGCAGCCAGGGAGCCCTCGGGGGATGTCCAACTAAAGGCTTAGGCCCCCAAGGGTCGGGCCTAAACTGTTAGTTGGACATTCTTAGTGCTGCCACGGAGGTGGGAGAAGCTCCTGCCACCATCACTGCACTGGCCAGCCATGAGCCAGTTTCTGGCTGAGTGGCACTACTCCTCGGTCTGACCTAAACCCTAGAGATTAGTACTTAATTTTACAACTTTTTCTCGGTTTATAGGCAGCAGCAAACTCAGACCACACAGTCGGGTGTGCAAGAAATGTTGCTTTCTTTATTATTTAGTAACCAAACCTAAGTTCAGCCCCCATTCTGCCAAGTGAAAAAACAAAAACAAAATATTATTTAACTTATTATTTAACCCCCTTCTCTGGAGTTGTACTTCCATGTCAGACAGTTTATATCTCAGGCAGAGGTGCCAAAGAACCGAGCAAGGTCAAGAACATCTGGACCTCAGTCTTCTGTCTGGGCTGGCCCCCACCCAGCTGCCCTTGACCCTCACCTCAGAGCTCAAGTCCATGCTGATCCCTGGTATATTCTCCTCATCTGGGCCTTGAGGCCTCTTGAGTCCAATTTGCTCTTTCCCTCCTTCCCTGCCACCTTCTCTCTCTCACACAAAGAGCTATTGGGTTTTCTGGGGTGAGGTCCTCTGACGCCTCCTCAGCCCCGTTGCATGGACACCATCTTGGTGCCTTGGTCACGGCCACAAAGCTGTGTGGCTGCTCTCAGACCCTCGTCTCCTGCTGCCTTAGGGAGTGGCTCAGCGGGAGGTGAGGGTCACAGTCCTTTTTACATGGCCGCCAACAAACACTCAGTGTTCCTTCCCTCTAGTTCTCCTTCTCCTCCTCACCCCAGTCCAGGCACGTCTATGTGCAGGGCAGGGGAGGGTGGGAGGCAGGCGTGTCTCTGACCCAGCACACAGGCTTCCAGATCCACTGTTCCCCCAGGAGGTCTTCCACGCTCTGGATCTCGACACCCAGAACCTGCCCCCTCTCAGCTGCAGGTCTTTGCCCACAGTGGTCAAGTCTGTTTAGAGCAGTGGTTCTCAACCTTGGCTGCACATTAGAATCACCTGGGAATCTTTTCAAAATCCTGATTTCTGGGCCTCATCCTCCGGAAATTCTGTTTCTTTGTTACTAATGTTGTGGCTCCACCCCAGAGTTTAACAAAGAGCCATGGCCCTTGTTGCTCACTTGGTTGGAGCATTGACCTATGCACCAAAAGTTGCAGGTTTGATTCCTGGTGATGACACATGCCCAAGTTGTGGGTAAATCCTCATTTGGGGCGCATATAGGAGACGGCTAATCGAATTTTCTCTCTCATGTCAATGTTTCTTTCTCTCTCTCTCTCTCTCTCTCTCTCTCTCTCTCTCTCTCTCTCTCCCTCTCTCTCCCTCCCTCCCTCCCTCCCTCCCTTGTAAACTTTAGTATGAGTCCCCACTCTCCTCAGTCCCCACTCTCCCTTCCCCTCTCTCTTCCTTTCTCTCCCTCTAAAAATCCATAAAGACATATACTCCGGTGAGAATTAAAAAGGAAAAACAAAGTTTAACAAAGATAATGGTGACTACTACTAATAAGCAACTCACTATATTCCATATAGAAAATGATTTTAATAGTAAATTTGAAAATTTTAAACACATAGCTTTTCTATTTTTTTAATGTAAGTGAAATGCATATTATAAAAAATAGTAAATAATAAGCAGGAACTATTGTAATTCCATTGTAGAGATAATCATGTTAATATGTTGATATATTTCCTTTGGGTTTTTTTTCTCTCCTTAGCTTAGATGAGTACATATTACAAAATTAGAAATATATATATAAAGTTGTATATGTTAGAAATCTTTATTCTTTAGGTAGGTTCTCTGGATATTTTAATGTACTGTAACATTTGATTTATTAGTAACTCATTAGAAAAATTTTTGACTATAGTCTTAGGTGGAATTGATCTATAATTTTTAAAAATGCTAATTATTGGTCAGGCTTTGGTTTTCATGCACTGGATGTGTGTGTGGGGGGGGAGTGTCCCTCAGCCCAGCCTGCCCCCTCTCACATACTGGGAGCCCTCAGGCGTTGACCCCCATCACCCCCCAATCGCAGGATCGGCCCCTTGCCCAGGCCTGGGCAGGGGACCCTCATTTCCCCCCATCACTGGTTCTGCCCCCAGCCCAGGCCTGATGCCTCTGGCCCAGGAATCATGCCTGGGCAGGGGACCCCCATCTCCCTCTGATCGCTTGCGCCACCCCCCGCCCAAGCCTGACGCCTCTGACCCAGGCTTCAGGCCTGAGCAAGGGGACCCTCATAGCCCCCCAATCCCCGGCTCTGCCCCCCGCCCAGGCCTGATGCCTCGGCCAGAGGAGTTGACCCTCATCACCCTCCGATCAGCAATCACCAGATCGGCCCCTTGACCAGGCCTGAGGCCTCCGGCAGAGGTGTCAGGCCCGGGCAGGGGACCCCCAGCTCCCCGCGGTTGCAGGCTCCGCCCCTGCCCAGGCCTAACACCTCTGGCCTAGGCGTCCGGCCCGGGCAGCGGGGACCCGCAGTGGCAGCGGGGGGTGCCGCGATCGTGGGCTTCGCTTTAGGCCCAGGCAAGGGACCCCTAGCTCCCGGGACTGCCAGCTTCTACCGTGCCCAGCTCCCATCGCTGGCTCCACCCCTACTTCCTGCTATCACTGGCCAGGGCGGCAAAGGCGCCTGATTCTCCGATCATGGCTGGGGGGCAGGGCAAAGACGACCCCAGGGCCGCCTTTGCCCTGCCCCCCAGCTCTTAGCTCCCCCCTGGGTTTCCGATCACTGTCAGTGGCAGGGAGCTTCTTCCTGCTTTCCCTTTCGCCTCCCTGCATTGTGCCTACATATGCAAATTAGCCGCCATCTTGTTGGCAGTTAACTGCCAATCTTAGTTGGCAGTTAATTTGCATATAGCCCTGATTAGCCAATGAAAACGGTATCGCCGTACGCCAATTACCATTTTTCTCTTTTATTAGTGTAGATGCCCAATTTAATTGCATTACTTAAATCTAAGTTGTATATAACAAACCTGTCAGACAGATCTCCCTCTTTAATTTTAAAAAAAAGATATATTTATTGATTTCAGAAAGGAAGGGAGAGGGAGAGAGAGAAAGAAACATCAGTGATGAGAGAGAATCATTGATTGGCTGCCTCCTGCACACCCAACACTGGGGATCGAGCCTGCAACCTGGTCATGTGCCCTGAACGGGAATTGAACTGTGACCTCCTGGTTCATATGTTGACACTCAACCACTGAGCCATGCCGGCTGTGCTGGTCTTTATCTTTAACTTTTTATGCTGTGGTCAGTTTTTTTTTCCTCTTGTGTTTATTTTAATTAGAACTTGACAAGAAGTGTGTCTGGCATAACTCATCTGCCCATGTTAACCTCAGTGTGTTTATTATAGGTTTTCCTTTACTATATCCTACAAAAATATTTCTAG